AGGCAGACACCCTGTCTACTTTTAAGGCTAGGCTTAAAACTTTCCTTTTTGATAAAGCTTATAGTTAGAGTGGCTCAGTTTATCCTGAGCTATCTCTATAGTTATGCTGCTATAGGATTAGACTGCTGGAGGACATGGGTATCCCTTTTTTTATCATTCTGCTTCATTCTATCTCTATTCTCCCAGTCTGCAGAATTTGTTAGTTAAATCTATAACGTTAAGCTCTCTGCTTTTTCTCATAGTAGCTTCATATGGTCTGTTTCTGTTTGGCTGTGACTCCATCCTAGAGAGAAATATCAGCTGTACTGCTGCCATCAACACCTTTGTTTATTGATGTTCGAGCTCTGCCTATTTCTAGTCTTGTTTCTCTAATTGTGACTATCTGGATGTGCTGGATGTTTCCTGAACCCTGTGGAGCTGGTTAAGAGTTGCCTTTATGTATCTCTGCTTCGGTCTCCTTGAACCCCATTCGGCCTCGCCAGATCGCCGCTCACACTAAGCCTGGTTTAGCTGCTAAAAGGTATTTTTTTCCTCTCTACTGTCGCTACAAGCATGCTTAGTGTGAGGGATTGCCTTCAAGTCAATGAGTCGATGCAATCAACTGGTTTTCCTTAGATAGAAAACTTTGAATCAATCTCAGTGTATGATCTAGTTGAATTGTAAAGTGCCCTTGAGATGACATGTGTTGTGAATTGGCGCTATAGAAATAAAACAATTTGAATATAACCTGCTCACCGATTCGCCTACCTATACCTGCCTCTGCCTACTCATCTCTGCCAGAACGTCTCACTGTCTTCACATGTTATTTGCCTTTGCTTCACTAGCACATGTGTGCTCTGCAAGCTAGACTCTCCTGCTAAGGTAGCCTGTGCCTGCATACTCCAGTTCACCCTGTTTCCTTCTATACCGGATCCTGTGGGCCCTGCCAGGTAAACTGTCCGAGTTAAGGTTGCCTAAGTCCTGTTCCTCTGTGAGTCTCAGGTGCTTGCTTGCCCGTTCTGTGGGGTTTTCCGCTCCACAAGGCCTGTTGGTTCTGTCAACACCTACATATCCTGGTTCTCTGCTCATCCCTGCAAACCAGTAGCCTGGGTGCCATTCCGAACTTAGTCCCGCCCACAAAGTTTGAGGTCGGGAAAGTTCGGTCTGGCTCTGCTCCATAGTAGCGCAAGTATTATCGCCCACTGTCAGGCGATCCAATCAAATTGTCAGGGCGGGCTTTATACGATGATGGACAGATGA